ACATCACCTTCAACAATACAGAATTACCCTTGTCCTATCACTCCAGCAATGAAACAAGAACTCACCTGGTGGATTTCACAACTTCAGCAATGGAATGGTCGGCATATCCTTCAGCACACGCCCGTCACTCAAGTGTTCACGGATGCGTCAGTCACGGGTTGGGGCATAGTTTGTGGCAATCGTCGCTTCTCTGGTCTCTGATCCCCTCACGAACGCCGTTTCCATATCAATTACAAGGAGCTCCTAGTTGTGGACAAGGCCCTACGACAGGTGCCACTTTCATACTCGGGACACATCCAGTTTTGTATGGACAACACGTCTGCCATGGCATATATCAACAAATTCGGCGGTACCCGCTCCTTCAGCCTGAACACTTTGGCAATGAACATATGGCGTTTCTGCTTTCGGAACTCTATGCAATTATCGACACTATACGTTCCATCCCGCTACAACTCCGTCGACGCTCCATCTCGTCAGCTTGCGCGCCAGACAGAATGGACATTGCCCCGAAAGGCATTTCTCTGGCTGGACCGTCTATGGGGTCCCCATCACTTGAACTTATTCGCAAATCCATAGAATGCACAGATTCCGACGGCCTTTGTGTCCTGGAATTATCACCCCGAAGCGTTATGGATCAATGCCTTTTCTCGGAACTGGACCACTTTATTCGGTCGTCTATACCTAGCCCTCCATGGAATCTAGTCCTGCCCACATTACAGAGGTTAATTCAGCGTCCTCAACCTGCAACATTGATCACACCCAATTGGCCGTTAGCTCCTTGGTTTCCTCTGGCTCTCCGTCTGACACAACAGCCCCCTCTTCTTCTCCTCCAAGAAGATCTGGTAAGCGAAGAAGATCATCATCTTATCAAGAAGAATCCCCGTTGGACAATCCTAGCGTGGAACATATAACAAAGCGCCTGAAGCACTCCTCTTTGTCGTCGTCCGCTTTAGCCATCATTTCTCCCACAGCGTCCTCTACCCGACGACAGTACCACTTTAGGCAACAGAACTACGCTACGTGGTGCTCTACACGCCAATTCAACTGTTATGACCCGTTCCCACAGCAAATCATCAACTATTTAGCAGATCTTCACACTACCCACGGCCTCAAGCTCTCCACGCTCGTCACCTATAGCAATTCAATTCTGGCTCTGTTCTCCGCCGAGGATCAGCAAGCTATCAAACGCTCCGAAACTTATGTGGCCTTCCTTAAAGCACTCAAGGCTAAGACTATCCTGTCTCCTCGACACTGGTCGTACGATGTTGCTTCCGCTATCAGTTACATTGTTTCCTTAGGTTCTACCAATGATCTCTCAGACGATCTCCTCACAGCTAAAACGGCTTGGCTCTTAGCGATGGTTGGATTTCTCCGTCCGTCTGACTTAGCAAGAGTGGATCTGGACAAATGCTCTATTTCTGAGGACAAGGTCTTGCACTTGTGTGTCGTGGCTCCGAAAGAAACACGCCAAGGATCCCACATTACCAAGACAATCACCATTCACCCGCATCCGGATCCTCTTCTTTCCTCTGTCACAGCCTACTCGGTTTATGTCTCTCGGATTGCTTCGGTAACATGCTACGTAGCTTATCCAGCCTTCCCTTCAATCATTATATATTGCCTCTTCCGCTCTTTAGCCGATCACTCACAGTCAATCGGGCTCGAACGAATCTCTAAGCACATCCGCCGAATCATGACACATGTGGGAAAACCAGACGATGCTCCGGTTCCCAAGGCCAGGGTCTTAGGTGCTACACTAGCCGCTCAAGCAGGCATCGCAGTGGACGACATAGTGGTACACGGTAACTGGTCTTCCAAGGCCATATTCGAACAGTTTTACCGTATTTCTTCAATGACGAACAACAGTCTCACGCTGGCTACTCTGGATCAACAACCAAGATCACAAAGCTCGAAGTGTAATTTGATGTAGTATACGAATTTATGAAGTATCATCATAATTGCACGAGAGCTAAGTGATCTTGGTTGTTCCCGCCCTCCTCTCCCTGTTCTTCTCGGTTCGTCTCTTTGTTTATTTTATTCTCACTCAAGAAGATAAAGGATCAAAAAAAGCCTTTTATATTATTGTATTTTATTTTACGTTGTACAATTCGAACTAATAAAGAAAAGAATGATTACAACAACCAAGATCACAAAGCTCGAAGTGTAATTTTTATTTTCTAAACAGTGAAATGGACCGGTTGAAATTTTTTTATTTTTTTACTTTTTGAACTTTCAAGACTGTATATATAATAACTAGTAAACTACTTGTTTGGATTCGAATCTGACACTTTGAATCGCATACGCACTGAAGCGAATGCTTGAATAATGTTGCACCGTGAGTACTTGTATTATAATGAAGCTGAATATAAATGTGCTATAAAAGCACTATAGATGCAGCGACATCCTTTATTTTACTAGTATAATAAGGAAAATGATAAACTTTTTAACTTGATTTACAAGAAAGACTGCCATCCAATCCACATTAAGCCAAGAACAGCAGGGTCAGTAGCTAGATCTATTAAGCACTGGACCTGTTCTTTTGGATCTGCACAACGTTTACCAAGTAGCTTTGCTCTAATGTTTTCCGTACGTTCTCCCTGTGCTACTTTACATGCAGACTCATAGTATGTAAATTTGGCATGACCATTTGTTAGTTCATCCACAACAATATCTTTTTAAAAGAGATCACGTTAGTAGTAGCTGGGTAACAATAGAGCTTTACATACCCACAGGGTTGTCACCTTCCAGTTTTCTTTTAGCAATCTCTAGCTTCTTTTGTGGGTACCATTTGATTTCATCTGTGGTTGAAGAAGATGAGCTTGGTTCAGCCAAGCTGTTTTCTCGAGAGACACTACTGCCTCGCTCAGTTTCTATATAAAATACACCAATCATTAACTTGTTCTTTCAGTAATAACGACATATTCTTACTCTGATGCTTGGCTTGTTTTACTGCTGCCTTTTTCCAATCTAATAAAGGTTCCTTTACAAAGATATCCATAATGTTTAGTAACAAGTCCTTATCGTTTTGAATAGCTAAGCGTATTGACAACATAGTTAGCTTTAATATGAACTAAATAAATCCTTATTATACATACCCTCTAGCACATTGACCATAGCTATCTCCAACATACCAGATATGCCTAATGGTTCTAGGGCGCCAACCAACTGCTGTGTTAAACGGAACGGAACAATTTCAGGAATAGGTAATATTTCAGTTGCTGATCCGAATGCATGACCAAAATCAATAGGAATCAAACGGCCACTATACACTTATTTATATCACACCTTAAGAAATATATTTACCACTTCGTTTTTACCTTTTCATGTCCAGTAAAAAGTTCTCCAAATGTCTATCGCCTATACCAAGGATATATCCAAAGATAGATATACAAGCTAAACTATGAGCAAAGTCCTTTCTTAAGAACAAAAAGGCTTCAGGGGATGCCGCCAATTTCATCAGGTAATCACGTAAAAGAGTGCGTTTAACAAGCACAGATACTTCACGGTAATGTTCAGCTATTTGTTCTCGAGGCAATGAGAAAGCCTTTTGATAGCCAACTATAGCCAAACGTGTTATCTAGTGTATTTTTCTTTAGTTTAAAACTTACGTATTCCTTTTCCTCCCTTTTGGGCCATCCAGGAACGGTATCTGTCTTGCATATGAGATATTCTCACTGGTGTGTCTACTTGCTCTTCAATACAGGCTCGAAGAGGCTTTGTATCACCAACCCATTCGATTAATCCAAGGCTGGTAGTCATTGGTATAACCTATGCATGTATATTCAGTACAAATTATACACTTGAAGCACACCTACGTTATATGTTGAAATTTGGATGTTTTGTGATGAACAGAATGAGTTTTTTGAAACCATATCGTTCATCACAGTGAACACCTGTTCGATACGCTGATCAAGACGAAGGTCCTCACCTCCTTTTACCAGAAATAGATATTCTTTTTCATCAGTGCCGTATATGCGAATTCTTTTGGGCTTTCTAATAGAAGACATCACCAACACTCTACCATCAATGCTTGCTACTTTGGCATGCAATTCTGGGTAGGGTTTGCTTAAACCGTTATATTGTCCAGGGACTTCGAGTTGCTAATGTAAAAAAAAAAAAGATGAAAAAGATGAAAATTCATTTTGAACCTTGATACTACCTCTTCAAATTCACTACTCTTGAACGAGGCCAACCAAGGTGAATATGATTTTAGCAAATCAGCTCCAGGTCTAGAAGAAGGCTTTTGCTTCATGATCACATCGTCTACATACGCTGCAAGTTTTTTCAAGGTATCACGATTCAAATTCTTTAGTTTTGTTCCATTTCTTCCCATAAGTTCTATCAAATGAGAACCATGTTTTTGCGCAAATGCCTTTGGAATACTTCCAACTTTGCTGCTATATGGATTTAGTAAAAGTTGGCTAAAGCTTTGATACAATTCTTGTATGTAGTCTTCAGTAATATTTTCATTAGCAATAATGGACTATGAAGAGAGGTTTAGTGTTAATATGAGTAGTCTATAGATGACTTGTTGTCAATACCTGTAAAAATTCAATAAAGTCCTTTACAATATGTTCGGGATTCGTGAGACGCTTCAGTTCAGTACAAAACTCTTCCATGATGGGTGATCTAATCAATGCTCTAATTTCTTCAATATACTTTTTGTTTTCTTCAGAAAGCTTGTTATCAACCAGCCTATAATGCTCGTAGCTGATATGGAAAGGGTAATAGAGTGCCTTGGGGTAGTTTTCAGCCACAGTTTTGATGACAGGATACATATATTTAGCAATTGGTAAATCCAAGATGGACACCATCTGAGGGATCCACCTAATATACAACCATGTTGAGCCAAAGTTTTCAGACTAGAATGATCATATCAGCATCGATTTACATAATATAGCTTCATTCAACTACTTACACACTCTACAAAGCTTGAACCTATTTCTGGATATAATTCAACGAGTTCCAAGATACGAGGGAATCTTTCAGCTGCACGCTTATGACCTCTATCCATAGCTTTCATATAGCTATCGATAACAACTTTACTATATTCTATCGGTTCGACAGCAGGTTGAATCATTGAAGAAGTACCCACCCTACTTAGGGACTCATCACAATATTTTCCAAGTTTCCATAAACAATCAGTGTACAGAATATCCTGCAAAGGATATGATTAGGACAGAATACTTGCAACCATTTAATGCAACACTTACCTGTTCAACAGTTACAGTTAACGCCTCTTTAAGGTTTTTATATCCTGTGGTTTCTAAATAATTTACAAATTCTTCTGCATCTTCGACCTTTGCTGCCGAAGCTGCCCTCTTGACATTTTCGTTACGCATTATTTTCTCATATAAAGTGGGTGTGTCCATAATTTCATTTTTAATCAATCCATATATGCTCGCAATATTCTCTTTTGCTTGGTGTATTTCTTGAACTGAGGCAGTTGCTGGCATCTGAGAAATGTATAATAAGAAAGTGTTTAAGTAACCCATCTTTAGCTTACATTATATGCAAATGCTCTGGTAAGCGCATATTGCATAAAGAGAACCCGTTTTGGATTGTCTTTGGACAATCTTGTCATTTCGTGATAATATTGACGTATCCTGTTCAAGTTAAATTCTTTAACAGCACCAAGCTTCTTGAGCTTATTTTGACGGGTCAAAAAGACGTTGAAATTGTGCTGTATGCGAGCAGCATCAATAATGTTGTTTAAGAATACTATCTTAAATTTGGTACTGTCAACTGTTAGGTCCTGATTCTAAGAGAGATAGCCATATGAGTAATGGATTAAAATCAAGCATCAAAATATACCTTTTCTTCAGCAAGCGACAGTATATCTTCAATAAATACCATCCTTGACTCAATTATATCATCCCATAAATCAATAGGATCAATCCGAGGATCAGGGTATCTAAATGTCGTTAAAGACCGCACTTTTGAGCGTCAACACAGCAGTTACCTTGATGTCAATGCTTGGAGGAATGTATTAATTTTACTATTGTCTATGCCACGTTTCTTGATGTCAATAGCCAAATCAATATAATCTTCAAGTTCAACTGTCTGTTTACAAAAGATTCATATAAGAAGGAATATCAAACACTTCCTTAACTTACTCGTTCGAGGTCAGCTAGCTTTGCTAAACGACTTGTATGTGCTAGAGGATGTAGCGTCGTCCATGCTGTTAGTAAGGATTCATACGATTTTCGAATAAGCTGGCCGCCCTGATCATATTTCTTTTGATAGATAGAAGCAAGGGTTACATCACAAGAATAATATCTAAGTATGTATTGTCTTTGGTTGCTATTTTTAAGTGCTTTTTCAATAAAAGAAAATAAAGGATTTGGATTTTCATCACTCCAAGGTATCTCGTTTCCTTCTTCATCAGTAATCCCATTACGTTGCTTAGTAAAGCTTCTCATAAAATAGTGCAGATAAGGATCCTAAATATGCATTAGCATCTTTGCATTTTGCTCAGATATAAACTTATACCTGATACTCTGATTCCCATAGCTTACTATAATCTCTACGGGGTATTGCAGCATATATATCCTTAACAATATCATCCCACTGTGTCAGTTTTTCGTAACAATGCAGCATCTGCTCTTGCCACAAATGAGCTTCGCTTTGATCTACAAAGTTATGTAATGATTCTTTTGCTTGTCCAAATTGGTTGTATGCTGTAGCATAGTCACCAAGCACTTCAGAGTCAATGGCCTCTATACGAAAGGCAAATGTTATATGACTGCAGTTTCATAAATTCTATCGTACTTTTAGGAATTTCATATGTGGCTATATAGGACTGATAAATGCTTCTGAATACACCTGGTTCATCAATATCCTTGAATAGCAACGAAAGGTCAATCCATTTGCTCTTCTCACCCGACAGCTGAGCAGAAGAGCCTGTTTTTCTTCTTTTTGAAGCTAAATTATACAACAGTTACATGTCATGTTCTTGGACGCTTACTTGAGTTACCTTTTTCTGATGTATCTCCTATCAGCAGTTGTTTTTCAAGCAGAGATATTCCAATGTGTTGATTAAAGCTTTTACTGCTGACTTTTTTGATTAGCTTGCTTTCAATATTTGTGATATCCAATTCAAAGAATATACGTAAAAATGAACCGATAGTAGGAATGAAAAAAAGCGAGCTCTCGTAAAGGTTGTTGGTTATGCACTGAGCAACTTGCTCCTTGTATTCCTATAGAGAGATGTTGATTAAAAGCACAAATGGTAAGCTTGGCTAGTTATCTATTTGCCTCTCTTTCATTTTCATTGACTACACCGACGACAATGCTGCTGAAAAGTAAACGCGAGATACTATGATCTGCACTTGAAAGCACCTCCAAAGGTATCAACAAGTCCTTATAAGTTATCTGGATGTCAGGTAAATCACCTGCATAAAAGCGTTAGTTTTTTTTCTATCTTGTGAATTATTATACCACTTACCAACTCGATAAGAACGGCACAGTGTCACCTTTTTGTCTTGAACTTCTTTCCTTATACTTTGAAGATAAAGTAACTTTTTCTTGAGCTCTTCGTTTCTTGTAGCATGGTAGCGGTTGATTGCTCCCTTTTTAGACTTTATAAATCGCACTTGGGTATAATTGTCCCTAACGCTAGTAGCACGTTCACGCATCCTATGCATATTTACATTTAGTTCAACATTTCATATTTTTTAGTTATTCTTACTTTTCTGAATCAATGTATTTATCCAATATGCTCTCATTTTGATCTTCATTAGCGTCGACTTCTTGTGCCTGAAGCGAATTGAAGGTTGAAAAGAGCGACCCAGCAAGAGTTTGCGTACGAGTGAATTCGAGAGATCGTTGTGTATTTCTTATATTTAACTCAATATCTTCCGCATTCATCTATAACAAATAAATATATAATCATGGTTTATAGGGAGCTACATAGCAGGCTTACCATTTTTTCTTGTGTTGGAACAAATAAAGGTGTCATGGAAAAGTTTTTCTGCCATGATGTATCAAATTTATAGTAGTTGGCATCAAATCTAGCATTTGGTAAAGGGTTTTCAAATATTGGTTTTTCATATTCATGACTCCTCTTGGCTTTTCTCAACATCATCTGTGTGCAATACAGTAGATAGATGTCCTCTGTTTCTGGAGTATATAAATTTCTATAGAAACTCAAAGTAAATCTATTGTATGCAGTAGCCTAACTCGCTATACCTTGTTATTTTTAACAGTGCCTTATAAATGTCTTCTTCTAACTGATAGGTGCATTCAATATAATCAAAAATATCATCTGAAACACTCCTGTCTTTGTCAAGTAAGCCTCTATAAATGTATACTCTCAGACGTTCTTGCAATGATCGATCTGCCCTTGGAGGAGTGAATGCTTTCTTCAAGAAGGAATAGTACAATTTCTAGTGGAACGCTAAATATCATTGTTATTCTCTTCTAGTTCATCTCTATTTACCTTGCATTCAAGATTTTCATGCTCAGGACAAGCTTGGGCCATCAGCTCAATTATTTCGCTGATATCCTGATCAGTCAAAATATCAAAGGTCTTGTTGAGTAAGTTCAAGACCGCCACTTGTGTGTTACTATCTCTATGCATTATCAAGGCTATAATGCCCGAGCTTTTCAATGTATGTAGAAACATGGGATCATTTTTCCAACAAGCTGTAATGACGTTCACTGCTTCTGTTCTTTGAACCCCAGCATATTGAGGAAGACTATGAATGACTGCTGGTAAGAGTGGTTGACCAAGCTCGGTGTCATGTTTACATAAAGCATTCATGCAGCCAACAAACACATCTTCACGTCCTTTGATTCTACTTGCACTTTGCAGCTAAGTAAAAGTTAATTATGCTAAAGTATCACAATATAGAGTATGTAGACGTACCTTGGATGTAAACATACCCTCAATATCATCCTTTAGTGTCATGTTGTTGTTTTTCATGTATTTCATGGCAAATCCCATAACCTATTTTAAGGTTATTAAAATCAGTAGACAAACTAACTATGCTTACCTCGGCTGCAGCAACAGAAATGCTTTTTCCTTTCTTGGACTTGTTGAACAGATTATTTGATATGGCATCATAGAAATGAAGTTCAGTTAAGCCCTCTAATTCAACCTCAGAGCCATCATAGTATGGGTTTATTCCATGATCAAGAATGATACTAACAAGCTGCAGCCCAACCATATTACGTGTAAGATGGTCGCCTGTGTAGCTAAGCTCGTCATATATTAGTTTCTGCGAGGATCCATGAGCAGTGTAAGAAAGTGCATACTATTTGATATCGTATAACTTACAGTAGGTACAACAATATCTTGGCTCCAATTTGAAAATATGCTTCGTAATATATAAAGATTACTTCGAATTACGCGAGGTGTTTCATGGTATACGTGTTTGATCAAGTAAGTCTACATAAAGATGTTATATTGAATGCTTTTATAGGGAAGCACTACACGCACCAAAAACCATATATAAAAAAGAATGTTTTCTCCATTTACTATAGTTTCTGATGCTTGCAGTGATTCCAATAACTCACTTACTATAAAGTTGAACAGACCATGCTTTGACTCTCTATTTTGCGGTAGTCTCGTATGTCGGCCCCAAGCAATAATGATCATGCACAGGTCTTGGACGAAATAATTGAGTGGTTCTCCATATTCTTCGCCTCTTGTCACAAGATCCATTAAATGTTCAATCCAAAATAAAGCGTATTTTTCAAAAGCAATTGGATAGTTGATGATGATCTTTGCCAAATAAAGCTTTGTAATCAAGGGCATGTTGCTGCTTGTAAATGATTTATGTAATCTGTTCATCCAGCTTGGCATTGCCGTCGGCTCTACTTCCTCTGGTGGCGCTATTAGAGTGTGTAATTTTTCAATGATTTCTCGTAAAGAGCGCATACAAGGATTTTCGTTAAAAACATCGATTTCGAACAAGAAATCGTCGTCATCATCATTACTATCCAAGGAGATCTCAGTCATTTCCATATCGTTATCAAAAGAGTTGGATGATTCCAGAGAGGCTACAGCGCCAGATGGTTCAAGGCTGTTTTGCAATATTACCTATAATATATTTTCATGTAAGTTGTGATGAGGTATAAAATCATATTTTATGTATACCTCAGATAAAGATGGCTGAGTAAAGCTATAAATATATATATATATATATTAGCCAGAGTTAGTCTACAGTCGATCTAAGGAATTATGGTGCAAATTACCTGCTTCCATTAAGCGCTGAAGAAGCAAAGTGCGTAGTCGTATTTTTTTCAATTTTATACATTATGTTTGCTTTAACTTCTTTTAGTTTGAGTTTTTCAAGATTTTGATCAAGCACCAGCTGTAGATGTAACTCTTTTCTTCTGTCAAAAATGTTATTCCAGATGCCGCAGCCAGGATCTTCTCTAAAAAGAAATCCATCATAAAATGCTTCAGATTTTTTTGGTGTTTTCTGAGTACGCAGGATGATAGCTGCTGCGACTGTGTAGGCTGCTTGGTTATACTCAAGCCTGGCTTCATAAACTTCGTCTTTTTCTGATTCACTTCCTTCTTCACGAGTTAATCGAGCCTTTTTCAACAATTCCATAGTCATCATTTTTCCTTGTAGAGTCTTCCCCCTTTGTTTCTCATATGTAATGCTGATCTGACTACCTGGTCCACTTACTAATTCTGGGGGCAAAATCTCATATAAAGCGTAAGCAAAAAGGTTAAGGATAATAGATAAAACACGCAAATAGAGGTTAATGGCTTTGATTGAAAAAGGATATTTGCATTAGTTTGAAGCATGAAGACCTCTCCTTCATATCCGCAACATGTTGCTGATTAGTTCCATGTAGGAGAGGTGGCCTCATAATGACATCCATTATGTCTACTATATTCTTCTCATAAAAAGTAGAAACATGCCCACTATCTGCCAAAGGAAGCATTGATGTTACTAAGCTTATGATGTTCTGTCTGTGCACAATCATTATGCTCTTGTCTTTAAATTGACTTCAATTGCGCTGTATGTTAGTCACTTCCAAGTGAATACATATCTATTGTACTTACTCAAAGCATGCTTGAGTAACATCCAGAAAGCTAAAGAGTCCCAGGTTTTTAGAGAACTTTGCAATTGAGTCACGGATCTTTTGCTCATGGATGTGATGCTCTTCTTGTACAAATGTTCCTTTTAGTAACTTGAAGATAGGGACCGATTTGAAGCTGACCATGACATTCAGTAGTTTATCCAAAACAGCTATATATTCATTATATCTTTTGTAATTGTTTAGCATAGTATCATGTTAGTTTTATCTCCTACTTACATCCTTGTCCCTACTGATAATTCTGCAGATACAGCAGGAAATTGACTCACAACCGATATCTGCAAAGCGTCTGTTATCTAATGAAAATGATTTTAGATGTAAAAGAGCGCTTATATAAAATGTTCATTCTACTTACCTTTTCTAAATAAGGGCCGTCCAAAGTGATGAAAACAGGAAGCAAATCTAGCGTATTGCGGATAACTTCATTTGAATTGTCTTTCTGAAGTAGTATAAGGAATGATTCAAAAAGAATATCAAATATACGCTTTCTTTTTGCCCTTATCAGAATACCGGGATCAGCGCCAAACAGCAGTTCCAAGCAGATAATGAGGTTAAGTCTCTTCTCTGGAGTGTTCCATTCGGAAACCCTATGATAGTGCTTAATCCTAGCATGATATACTAAGGATAGTACAACTTACATTGCTTCCAAGAGAGCAGGATCTTCTATGAGCTATAAATAAGTAGTTACAAATGCAAAACATCTTTGAAAAATCTAGAATGAACTTACGAAATCTGCTATGCTTGCAACTGCCTTTCTATGATTTATCCTATTCTCTTTATAATAACCAAATAGCAAGATTAAATAATCTGCCACAAGAGGATGGGATATATTTTCAATAAATAATGTTGAAACTTTGGCAAAGTTATAGGCAATAGCATCATAAACCTAAACATGAACATGTTCAGTTTCTGTCTTTTTTTTTTCATCAACAGCAATGTCCACTTTCTTTGTTTCCTGTTCATCCTTTTTAAGCTCCTCCTTCTCAGGCTCTTCTTCCTTTTTGACAACTTCAGG